AAATAAATTAAAAAAAAACAACTGAGAAAAAAATAGTTATCTACTCTAGCTGAATATATATTAATACACAAGAAATAAAAGTATTATATTAGATAAAAACAAATTAAATGAATTCATTTTCAAATATTAACTTTCACACATGTTGTAAGACTTCATATTCGTAATTCAAGCATGGGAAAACAATATATAATTTTTTATTTTTCAAGAACAATACTACGGAAAATAAAACAATGACAAAGTGGAAAAGGTTTTCGTGTGACTTGTTTCGTCCTTTAGGTCTGTTCTCAGCCTGGTGATGTCCTAAAGTCGAAGTAATTCAGACAATAACTTTTTTCCTCTTGGACAATTTGAGATCTTCCATCTTTCATAATTTTGTCGTTTCAATAACCTTCTTCCATTCTCAGTAAATAACTTCCTTAAGTGTCTTTTTTGATGTCAACGAACACTCGTTGACACTTTTGTAATGCCAACGAATACTTGTTGTCACTTTCGTCATGCTCGTTGTAGTAGAGACTTTATAACTGCAGTTACAACTATAGTAACGCCGTTAAACAATACTAGTGTCAGACGCCTTCTCCATTCGCACTAATAGTAATTACTCGATAATACTCGATCGAAAGTAACCACCGTATAGTGATCTGAATAGAGAAATAGTAAATAGAGGATAGACAAGAAATAGCGATCCGTATAGTATAGAGGATAGACTAGAAATAGCGATCAAGTGGACGTCACGCCATTTCCTACTTATTCGTTTTCTATATGGTCACGTGGTCTACTTAATTCAATAATGGGATCACCTGTGTTTGCTCACTGGTGATCTATGTTCAAACTCAAGTGTCGACAGCAACACTTTATTCATATATAATACTTTTGCAGTCTGCCATTAATTCATTTAAAATACAAACTCTTAAATACATTAATGTGCAAAATAAAGATGACACATAGAATTCAGTTTTAATAAATTTCTTTTTTTTTATTTCATCCCAAATAAGGCAATAAGCCACAAAGAGGTAACTGAGAATATGAGAAAAAACTACTATCATAGAGAAAGAGAAAGAGAGAGAGAGGGGGGGAGCAATAAAAGAACAAGAATGAAGAAAACAGAAGATTAAGATTGACCTTACATTTAAATATTTGAAGATCAAAGTTGGTTGGGAAGCAAGAAGCTAGAAGAGAGTTCCACAAGGGAGAGGTGTGATAGAAGAATCTGTTAACACATAACTTACGGTTAACCTAGCCATTTCAACTGTAAAATGATGAAACATTGCCATAAATCTAGTACTGCGCTTAAATTCATGAAATCTTTGTACCATAGTGAAAAGTTCATCACAACAATTACCTTGAAAGTGTTTCTAGAAAAGGCACAGAGAAGCTACGTCACGGCGGTAGGAAGCCGAGATGCAAGATCAGGACCAATAACATTGCAAACTCTTTAGTTTTTATCAAGAATCTCTACAGCAGGATCACGAAAGCTGATGTGACAACAATATTCAAAACAAGGAGGTATGTTAGATTTATAAATATGTAAGATAGATTCTGGCGAGAAAAATTGTCTAACACGACAAAATGAACCAACGTTTCGGCCGTTGTACGCTCCGGCCTTCTTCAGGTGGCTGGAATGTCAAACTGAACCCTTTTTTTTCGCTCGCTGGGGGTAGATTGTTCTAGTTCCACCTTAACCAGGTATTGAACTCACAACTCTTTGGGTCCTGTCTCTGGATCTAACTAACGCCTTTATCCACTGTGCCATGTGTCAGTGAGGACACATGTCACAGTGGATAAAGGCAGTGGAGAACTTGGAGAGGGAAATTAACAGGAGATAACTGAAAACTGATATCCATTAGACATGGCACGTGGAATTTGAACAGTCTACCCCAGCGAGTGAAATAAAGGGTTCAGTTTGACAGTCCAACCACCTGAAGAAGGCCGGAGCGTACAACGGCCGAAACATTGTGATAAATATGGCAATAAAGATGAAGACGATAGTCCGAACAATGCAAATAGTGTACATAATACCTCATCTCAGAAATATAGACAGATACAAGATGAACCAACTTTCCTAGTAGCAGACCTAGCAATCGATTTAATATAATTTTTCCTCTAGATATCAGCTGAAAACATTAGTCCGAGAAGGCGCAATGAGTTACTGTCCTGGAAGTTAGAATCAGCCATGATGATGAATGGGAAAGGATTCTTTAAGACGATAAAAAGAGAGCAATTATGAAAGCGTTAACATTAACGAGCTGCAACTAAACCCCATTTAACAACAGGTTTGATTTGTAGAGCTTAATTATGAAGTTCTCCTAAACATTTCCCCCAAATAGGGGAATAATAATCACACTTTCAAAATACGTCAAAGTTATTTGGTGCATATACAGGGTGCGATGGGTAAATTGTCGTCATTTTACATTTTTAATATTGCGCATGCGTGTTCTTTGTTTTTGATTTTGTCTGCACAGTATGGTAGGGTCAGTTGGGCACCGACTGTAAATGAAGCTTCGTGACAGTAAAAAAATTTCCTGGTTTTGATTCAGGCTCATGCAAAATATTTTTCTGAACTATTCCAAAATTAAAAAAAAAAAAAAAAAAAGGAATAAATGCTTATAATTACAAAGAAAGCCATACTTTTTAAACAAAACAAACATATGAATAAAAATATAAGTTTTTTCTTCGTATCTTTCATTGCTATTTAGCGGCTATAGATTTTTAGAATTTTAGACTGGTACCAGCATTCGTTACATAGAATTTAGATACTGACTTTCTCTATGAAAGATTAGCGTAACGTAATCTTTCTTGTCCCATGCCTTCATCATTTGGCTTTGTAAGGAATAAAAGCATCCCTCGATTAGTGCGGCTAATGTGTACATTAAAAGATACATCCTTATCGAAAACGCATTAATCAAATATAATAACTTACAGAAAATAATGTAATTTGTACCTCCAATTTTAGTCTCATTAACAATTAGTTTCGAATTCGTGTACTTTTTAATTAAAATATAGGTACATATAAGAAGATAAAATAAAAATGCTATGATTTAATGTTAATTAATCTGATTTTTTTATGAGAAACTTATTTAAATTGGTTTGCCACATGTTATTCTTCCGTTCTTCAAATAATCCAAACATATTATGATCATTAGTATTTTAAGCTGAACATTTTATTTATAATTCATAATCTTTCGATAGTAAATGCATATTTTTTTTTCTCTTATATTTCGATATTTTTAATAAATGTAAATTTCTGTGTCTAATTAAAATCGCCCATTTTTTACCAAAAAAATCAGAAATTTCCTTTTAAGACCATCAAAATAAACACGAAAAAAATCAAAATATTCAAAAAACATTCAACACAGACAAATATTCAAATATGCATTTTTATTATCGGCTTATATTATAAAATGTAACTACAGTGTAACCCGGATATAAGAGACCCGGATATAAGAGAAACCCGGATATAAGAGAGATTTTCTCTGGTCCCAAATTAGAGCCTGTGTTAATGTAAACAAAATAGACCAAACCCGGATATAAGAGAAACCCGGATATAAGAGACTTCTTCTCCGGTCCCGACAACTCTCTTATATCCGGGTTTCACTGTATATCCAATCGTCCATTTACTACTGTAATTATTTAGATGACGTAATACCTGACAAAACAAAATAATAACTCATTATCTTCTTTAAATTTTAGAAAAACTTTGATTATTCGGTTACTATAAAAAAAAAAATTCTAATTACTATGGTTAAACTGAAGAATGTTTTACCGCACTAATAGAGTATTACATATGCACTAATTCAATCTTGGTATATAAAAAAAAATAGCGCACTAATCGAATTTGTTAGATCATAATTAATAAACCCAAATAAAGTTAATATTTTTTGTATTAGAAACAACGAGTGGAAAATATATTCAAATCAGAATTCTAATTATGAATCACCACAAGCAAAATATGCAATTTTTTTGCTGTATTCAATAAGTAAAAATCATAAATTGTAAAACTAAAAGATTACAGAAAGGCTACCTACATTTTTCAACCGATTTCAACAAAACTTCACTTTTTTTTTGGCATGTAGTGTTTCTTAATGTCTTGCACACTCTTTTCTTTATTTTTACATTCAGAATGCTTTAAAAATTCCATTTACAAGACAATTGTTTATAATAAAATTCTATTCAATCAGAACGATTGAAAACAATGTTTGAGTTTGGGTTTGACCAACTCGTAAAAAAAAACAAAAAAAAAACTAATTAAGACATGCGTGTCCGTCAACCTTAAACAATAATCTTTATCAATTTTATTTTTCAGTCTTTATGATGGTCGATACTTGATCTATCTCTTACTGTTATATCCCCGGGCAACGCTGGGCTCTACTGCTAGTTCTTTATAAAAACGTTACTTTTCATTTTTTCCATCACCCCCTCCCTCTCTCTTTCATTAACTCCATAACTCTGTTTCTCTCGTTCACATTCAATTTTTTACTCACTATTTATTTCCATTTTCACTCATTCACTCGCTCGCGCACTCTCCACTTATCTTTTCTCTCATACACTCAACCACATTTATTTCCACTCATTTACTCTCATTATTATTTCACTCACCCACTCACTCACTCACCCACTCACTCACTCACTCACTCACTTCCCATGACTGACACAATACGCTTTCTTTTCATTCACTCACTCTTATTTACTACCACCCATTCCCTTTTTCACTCACACACTGACTCATTCACTCACTCACTCACATTTTCTTATTTACTCACGCACTATTTCCTTCCTCTCACTCACTAACCCACTCAATTACTCTTTCACTCATACACGCTTTCCTTTCATTCACTCGATCTACTCACTCACACATTTTCTTTTCACTCCCTCTAACTTATTTATCACCACTCACTCATTTAACCACTCGTTCACTCACTTTTTTTCACTCATACGTTGCCTGTATATATTTTCACACACTTACACACTCACTCACTCCCACTCACTCTTTTCTTTTCTCTTTCATGTTCTTGCTCTATTTCTCTCTCTCTCTCTCTCTCTATCTATCTATCTATCTATCTATCTATCTATCTCTCTCTCTCTCTCTCTCTCACACACACACACACACACATACATTTCCACCGTCTCATTCTACTTTTCAAGCTATCGGGGATGTAAAAATTGATACCATTATTGTCGTCTTCATCAGTTCGAATTTCTTCGTTTAAGCTTAGTCGGTGGAATGATGGATAGCGGCTTGGACTGAGGAATCGGAGAGCCGAGTTCGAATTCCAGTCGAATCCATTACATTCACTTATGTCCTAATACCCTTGGGAAAGGTATTAATCCTCCTCTTCTCCCCTCAATTATGGGTAAATAGCGGGACAGACCAGGTTCTATAGCATGACAACTGGTCTACCGCAGAAAGAATTGGCATCCTACTGCGGGAAAAATATATCTCTCGTCAGTCATGTATCGAAAGATACATGATCGCCTAAGAGTGTATCACGCATGGCACATAACTAACATTATTTATTCTTGACAAGGTTTTCATTAATATTTTCCCCCATCATTCCAAATAAAATTAATACATTTTTTTATATTAATTTACCCCAAAGAAGGCGATAATGTCACTAAGCCGCAAGAGAAAGACTGGAAGTGAAAGAGAGTAATATCGCTTTAGAAAGAACCAGAAACCCAATCACAAACAGGAAAAAAGGGATAAACATCTACTCCTGTTTAAAAGAAATCGGGGAGGATTGTGAACTGGACAATAGATGAACCTATCTACTCCTGTTTGCCTAAATGTCAAAATGAGTCTTATATAAAAACAGTTTACGTACAAATCTTTGTATTTTAAAAGATATTCTTGGCCTTTGTATTTTTTTATTAAAATTAATAGAATAAAAAATCTATTAAGATTTTTTTTTATTATTTCCGAATATTTCTTATTTTTGTTGCTTTATATCATAAAGTATTTTAAAAAATCAGGAAAATATTATTGGAAACAAAAAAGTATGCTAAAATTATTTTTTTAACATGTTACCCCAAGCAAGGCGATAAAGCCACTAAGACGCAAAGTATTACCGTGTCTCAAAGAATCTGACTTCAAAAACATTATTAAGGAGAGTGAACAATAAAGAAAAAGGAATCAAGGAAACATAACATGTCGAGCGACATCGCATTTAATTTTTTACGGTCAAATTTGGCTGGAAAACAACCACTGAAGAGAGTCCCACAAGCGAGAAGTACAATAGTTAATAAAGAACTTACAGTTAAATCTAGCAATTTCAACGGCACTATTCATCTATGACAGTGAATGTTAGACAATCAACTCCCGGTTTAAGAAGGGACTTCAGACAACCGAAATGTGGTTCTACAGAAAGATGCTAAAAATCCGACGGACTGAATATATGAGTAAACGAGGAAGTTTTAAAGAAAAATAAAATAAAAAAGAATGTTTATACTTAAAATCAGAAAGAGGCAGTAGACATTTCTGAAATAAATAATAAGAGATTGGAGATTCTGACACAGGATTTATTGAAATCAGGTGGAAAAGGAGGAAAGCAGTGAGTAAACTAAACAACGGATTTTTGTAAATGAATCTCACATGTATTGGGAGATATAAGGAAAAGACAAACCTTACTGTTATAGTGGAACACACCTATTCTATTGTTAATAGACTCTCCCACCTATAATAAGTAGGAGTAGTAGGAGTCGCTCAGTGGGTCAGTCAGTCGATGCCGGACGACCATTGTCGGACACTAAAGTATCAGCGACCGCAACTAGATTTCTCTGCGTCATTACCTATTATATCAAGTTCCTAACGTTTTGTACGTCGAACCTGTTTTAGGACCGACCTAGTACAGTGGAGTAATGGATAGTGGCTCGGATTGAGGAATCGGAGTGCCGAGTTCGAGTTCTAGCCGAACCAATTATATTCCCTTACATGCTAATACCCTTGGAAAAGGTATGAATCTCTTCTCCCCCCTACAGCTATGGGTAAATAGACCGGGTTCTATAGCCTTGGATGGCAACTGGTCTACCGCAGAAAGAAATGGCAACCTACTGCGGGAAAAAATCTGCCTGGTATCGAAAGATACATGATCGCCTAAATGTGTATCACTCATGGCATATAAATGACTAAATAAATCAAGGTTATGGCCCTCCACAACCTCCTATCCTTTGTATCGCTTAGTGTTATGGAGTGGTTTCATAGTGGAGGCTTGTATTTGTACTAAGTCGGTCCCAAAATTGGTTCGACGTACAAAACGTTAGGATCTTAATATAATAGGTAATGACGCAGAGAAATCTAGTGGTGGCCGATGATACTTTAGTGTCCGACTAACGGTCGTCCGGCATCGATTGACTGACCGAACCACTGAGCGACTCCTACTACTGCTACTTATTATAGGTGGGAGAGTCTATTAACTATAGAATAGGTGTGTTCATCCCCCCCCCTAAAACTTTACTCCGTAGGAGTAAACAGTTTTATTTATTTATTTATTTATTACAGGAAATATATGAAAAAAAAACAAACAACTTCATTTTTTTTTAGCAACAATCGTAGTGTATCACCTACGTTTTGAATCGACTTTTAAATGATCAGTTGCCTTTCTTTTTATTTTTTTTCAGTATACAAACAAAAAGGAAACTTATACTTAACAGCTGGAAGAAGCAGCTGAAATTTCTGGAACACGTAATGAGAAAGAATGGCTTGAAAAATCTTATACTACCAGGACGGAAAAGAGGGAAGGTGGGGACAAGCGAAAGCAACGCGTGACATACTTAACGGCCTTAAGCAAGTGGATAACGAAACAGGGTCTGAGAGAAATAATAAAAAAGAAAAAACATAATTTACATTTTTCCATTATTCGGACTGTTAACCTTATCTTCATTGCCATATTCACAAAGTTTCGGTCGTTGTTCGTTCCGGCCTTCTTCAGGTGATTGAAATTTCGAACTGAACCCTTTATTTCGTCCACCAGAGAAAAGAAACGCTGTGAATATGGCAATGAAGATAATATTCCGAATAATGGAAATAATGTAAATAATCATAATACCTCGTCTCAGATATAGACAGACAAGACATAAGTTATTGAGAGCTACAAGAGACAGGAAGAAGTGGAGAGCTTTGATCGCCTACGTCTTGAACGGACACGGCATATAAAAGAAAGAATCTCCTGCTGGGTCTGTCTGAAAAGTAACAGGACTGGTGTCACAAGCAATTTATTTCAATTCCAAACAAGCTGTCATATAATGGTGAAATTAATGATAAGTCTGTCTCGCTAGATCAATTACAAGTGACTATTGAATTTGATCCTCACTAGGTACCCCCACACTTTCGACTGAGTGCCCCAACACTTTCGAAAATCATTTCAAGCGTTCTGCGGCCCTGTCGTGGGATGCGTATCATCTCCCACTTGTGTCTCTGTCTAGGTCTGGGTAGAGCGCGACTCAATTGTGCCCTTTGTCTTCGGACAGAGTCGTAGCTGAGAAAAAAAATATTACTTTGAAGTGCTCGTCCCTGGGGAACAGGGATGCACCCTCTCATTGCACTAGAGAGAGAGAGAGAGAAAAAGATCGGTGGTCGTCACCGTGGCCAGCGCAATTGTCGTGGTGAAGCAGCTACGATTTGTCCTGCCACAACTTTCGTCTCTTCTTGCGCACTGAGCGAAGCAAACGCTAAGATCACAATTATATACTCCCAAGGTGTCATGTTAGATGATAACACAATCTGCTTATCCCCTTTCTCTCATAACTCACATCTACTCTGTTACTTTTCGGCTTTAGTCATTTTTTCTCCGCGGTAAGTAGCTTCCCTGTGCCTTTTCTATAAATAATTTCATGGTAATTGTTTTGGTAAACTTTCCTCGATTGTAAATATGGGAACTATTGAGGACTTCATAGAGATTCTGATGTATTATGTAAGTAATAATGTATTTTTTTTCGGTGTAAAAAATACTATGGTATTTTGGGCTCAGTAACTGTGGCTAGCTAAGTTTAAGATAAGACAGATTGAAGACCAACCATCCCACATCTCCCTTTTTGCCTTGTGCCAAACTTTTATATTATTGTACTTAGAATTTATGGATTTAAGCGCAGTACTAGATTAACAGCAAGATCTCATTTTACAGTTAAAATTGCTTGATGTAACTGTAAGTTCTATGTTGACAGTTTCTTCTCACTTGTGGCAGTCTATTGCGGTTTTATGGTTTCCAATCAAGTTTATTCTTCAAATGTTTAAATTTAATGTCAGTCCTTGCCCCCTTTCTTATTATTTCCTGTTCTTTCATTGTCCCCTTTCCTTAATAATGTTTTTCATATATTCTTTCGCACACAGTAACCTCCGCGTCTTAGTGGCTTTGTTACGTTGCATGGGTTGAAATGATTAAATAAAAGGTCATAAAACTGAGAAGGCGGAGATAAGAATTGGATGAGAGCGAAACAAAGAAAGTGTGGACCAGTAAAATAAAACTATGAACGACTTATAAACGTAAGCAAAAGAGGAAGCCTTAGTGATTTGGAACTAACTCCACATGTAAAAAAAAAGTAAGTAAGAATAGAGATATCGATACATATAAAAAAAAAACAACTTAAAATAAAACGCAAACTATCAGAAGGATTTCTTTGTTATCTAAATACCAGGCTAAAACATGAACTATTTTCATGTTATTTGGCTATTCATTGAAGTGTTGAAGGCGAACATAACCAATAAGGCAAGTGAAGCAATGATTTGCCCCTTACATTTCCGGGTAAATATTTGAGCTTGACAGTTTGGCATTGACTTAAAAGAAGAAACGATTAGAGACGGTGGAATGTCATTGCTCTTCGGTTTGGTAAAGCACCGTTAGTTTAAATCCAGGAAGAATTCAGCGACCCTAAATGGTGACCGAGCACTTTGGAGACATTTTTTTTCATCCAGAAGTGCAACATCATCCAGGTAGATTAATTGAAGATCACAGCTAGCATTATCTGTTTATGCATCCAGATAGATAGATAGCTAGATAGATAAAAAAAAAACAGAGAGAAACATAGATGGGCTGTTTTTGGCAAACGAACGCAAATATTTTTTGTAAAGCGCTCCACACAACTTGATTTTGGCTTTTCGCCATAATAGCACTTATTTTCACACACACACACACACACACACATATATATATATATATATATA